AAGACATTGACTTTGGCTTTTAAATGTTGACCATTGTCAGTATGTGCGTCTGTGTATTGTGTTTGTTCAAACGGTGTATGAGTGATGATATGTGTATGTATTTGAACGTTTATTTTGTTTGTATATGTACATGTATGCGCAACTGCAGACGGAGTCCAGAACAAATTTCCTTACGGGGACAATAAAATATATCGTATCGTATATCAAAGTAATCAAAAAAAAATAATTGTGATTCAACCAAAAAAATATTAAACAAAAAGGTTTTATTTTTTAGGTTCCAGTGTTTTTATCCTTTTTAGTTTATGTTACAATTTTGACAACACCTGATTCAAGATTAACGTGTGGAAGCATCCCTATATCTGGGTGATTCATTAAAGCAACATCTTAAGTCGGTGAGGATCAGCCCCTGGAATGACTTTTATATTTAAATATTTTGAATAAAAGTCAATGTATCCGAGTGTTTTAGCCCTGTAGTGTTACACTTTCTGAACCACCTCCCTGCTTTATGCAACACAAAGCTGCTGGAAACGGACGGGCGGTCACTTGACCTGCAGACGCCCCCTCTCCATTGTGATCATTGTCGCTGCTGTCGCCATGCCAACCCAGAGCCAGACCTTTGTGACTTGCTTTGTGACGAGGGGTCCTGAACTTTGACCCCATGCTCCAACACTCCCGTAGTAATCCTGAGGATTTAAGGCTTAACATCACCCAGAGGTGTTGAGTGGGATATGAGCTCTTAGGAACACTATCCAAATGTTTTAAAGTAACACATACTTATTCTACATTTGTACAAACTGTTAGGTAAATGTTAACTGGGACACATTTGGAGCAGCAGCTTCCCAGGATGATGAAACACAAACTATAATGGGTACAACTTGTTCTCTTGGAGTGAAAGTGTTTTTTTGTTCATGATAGCAAAAGCTCAATAAACTGATTTGATGATGTCCAGGATTAATCATACCGAGGTGGAAAATTAGAAACATACCGTGAGTCTCAAATGTGGAAACATTGAAAAATGAATAAAGAGCGAGTAGATTGAGTTTGACATATTGCTTTGCCTCGAAATATAAAACATGTTCTTGATGATTACAAATTGATCAAGGAAACGGGACTGCAGAGGTGCAGTTACACCCTTGGGCGAGTGAGTTTCATCCCCTCCCCCACCCCCACCTTCAAATCAGACCTCTGGTGGAAAACAAACCTATTACATTATATTACTAATGATTCATAAGTTACACTGTTTATAATTCACTTTTTGCTTAGTATGGCCAGTTTGGAAGTAGAAATGCGATGACAGACACATATTGAATAGTGTGGAGTTGTGAAAACTTACACTAAAAACCTTCTTAAATTGTACTTTATGCTGAAGCTAATGCCTTGTTAGTTCTCTCAGATCTGTGTATTTTGTGAAGTAGAAACTCACCCTGCGGAAAGACACCACGTAGAAAGTGTCGCCGCGACGGTTCAGCTCGTCGAAGAAGTCGCTGTATGTGTGGTGAGGAGCGTAGTAAACCTGCAGCTCGTTGCCAGGGTTCCTGTTGATTAGAAATAACAGAAAAATATGAGAAACACCTCAAAGAAATAGAAATATATTACAAATTGGGGAGAAAAGATTGACGTGTACTCATCTGGATAAAGTGCTGATAATCAATGTTATGTGCCAGAGAAGTGTTTCAGATATCAGATGTGTCTGTTTGTTTATCCCCAATACAGACACACTGCCTACAAGATTATTCAGGATGGAATAATAATTATCCACATATAACAAGTCAGTGCTCTCTAGGTTCCTGAAATGTGTGATTCATTTGCCAAAAAATTGATAAAACACACAAGAAAAAAGTTAAAGGCTGATAGCATTACTAATGTTATTGTTTTTTAGTCTAATTTTCTTCAGATATTGTGAAACCAAACGTTAATTATTTTTTAAGCTGTACAGTAGTCTGTGTCGCCTGTTTCACAAACGTTGTGGCCTAAATATAAAAAATCTAACTGCTTAATTGCTCAAAATCTAGATATTTCCATTTCCATCCTGACCAACTGGCGCCCCTGCCTGAACTAGTTGTTGCTCTTTTGTTCTGTAGATTTGATTTACCGATTGTAAAAACTGAAGAAAGCCAAAAAGGGAGGAAATTCAGCCAGAAATGTTTTTCCCATAAGCAGTTCCCCTCAAAGAGCCGCTTTGCTCAAATAAAATGTTAAAACAATGAAACACACAGTTTGTTGTGTCTACAGTTGCTTTACATAATCTTTTTTGGTGTACCCTGTTGACAATAAACACTACAGTCAGCATTTTTTAAACAAGCCTTAACTCACTGTTTTAGTTTACAACACATTGTTGGTTCACCACACAAACAGCAGTGACTGTATTTATCTTGATGGATCTACAGCGTGTTCTGCCTTCTACATGTCTATACATGCCTAATGCAGCTTTAAAATCGAATGGAAATGATTGTAAAAAGACATTTAAACCTGAAAATGTGTTTACTTGTGTGGATCTGACACTTTGAAACAGGCCTGTACTCACTTTTCCTCGGGAGTATCTGTGTATCGGACGGTCAAAGTCTGGGCATCCTCCTTATTCTCTGTTTTCTGATGGAAAAAAGAGAAAGAATGAGCTTTAAAGTCTTTATTTGCATCAACTAACCATTACAGCAGGATACACTGCTGGCAAGGCTGTCAAACACTTAAACACATACTCATTACGATCAACCATTATTTCACATTATCTAGAAATCAGCACACACATTCCAGTCCTGAGTCCAGTTTCCTCCTAATGAATCCCATCTAGTGTAAGCTTAAACTTGCATGTAGAACAATTCAATCAAACAGAAACACAAAATATATAAAATAAAGTTATATGAATTGAAATAGACATATGTGTGTGGGGCTTGAACAGCTCAAAACAGGTGAGAAATAAACACACCTTCCTATGTATTGTATGTGCTATCCATAACATTAAAGGTGGGGTATGTCATTTTGGAGAAACCAGCTCGAGTGCGCTAGAATTTGAAAATACACAGCCGGAAAAAATCTGCCACTTCCTTACAGAGCCCCTCCTCCAACACACACGAACGCGCACATGACCAATCCGAGGGCACGAGATAAGTTTGCCTACTAGTAGGCCGGCTCAGATGATTGGTCGTGCTTTTTACAGTACTACGGCTTCCATAGATGATATTTTTGTATGGATTTTTTGTCAAAGCACTTCAGATATTCTTTGCTATCAGGATGTTAAGAGCATTCCATGGAATATAACAAAAAGTGTATCTCGTGCCGGTTTCTCAAATGTACCTACCCCACCTTTAATCTGGCCGCTACTTAGAAATTATTTATCTAATATATCATATTCAAATAACTTGTATATAGACTCTTATTACACTATTTCGTACTATTTTGCTTTTTGTATTTACTAGCACATTTTTTTTTTTTTTTTTAAATTCAGTTTTATTGTGTGTGTTGGCACTGTTGGAGGAGCCTGTGACCTAAGATTTTCATCGTCATAACTACACTGTAGCTATGTTCGTATGACCAATAAAAGCCTTGAACCTTGATTTAAAGTCAAAATGAAGAATGGCTATATACGAACTTGGCAGCTCCCAGTGGATTAGCCCCACTGTGACAAACTTTGAAAAAATGATGGAAAAAAGGAGCAGGGGGCACTAATCCTACAGCGCCCCTCTAAGTGCTGTGTTTACTTTCTCATGGCTGCCGGATTAAACCCGGCCCGGTGGAGAGAAATGAGAGGCAGCAAAAGGGGAAGGTGTGAGAGGAGGTGAAACAGTGGTGAAAGAGCAGCTTTGGTTTTGACAAATACCATCCTTTACTGTATGTGGCCCTGAAATACAGCGGGAGCAGAACACTGAACATTCTAGCACGGCCCATTAGACATGTTTTCCTTGTTTTTGAAAACATGCTGCGACTTACCAGAATGGTCCTTGTGGGTTTGTGATTGCCGTTACTCATGCGTCTGGATTTGGTCTGCTGCACTTCATGACGGTGGACCCAGCCCCGCAACTCATGGGCCAGCCTGTCAATCAACAGGAATCAGATTTGTTTTTACATTTTAAATTACCGGTAAATTAAAATGTAGTCACATTTAAGCATTTTTGTGGTCTTTAGATGTGTTTTATGGAGATTCTGTTTTATGTAGAAAGGAGAAAAGTAGGCGGTACATTAAAGGTCCCCTATTATACTGTTTTTCATCAATATATTATAGGTCTCATATCTATATATACGAAGCATGTTTCTGAAGTGTTTGGCTCCAAACACCAAACAGATCATTGCAGCATTACCCATAATCCCCTCTGTTTCAGCCCTGTTTCTAAAGTGCTGATTC